TCTGGGGGGGGGGGTTGTGCCATCCCCCTGCTGGGGGGCCTGCAGGGGGTGAGAATGTCCCCACAGCAAGACCCCCCCCACCCAGTTCCCTTAGGGGTTTCTGTGCTGGAAACAGCAGGCCAGGCGCCCTCGGGCTGCCCCCCTGATGGATGGAGCCAGGAGGCAGGGGTCTCTGAAACCTTGAAAGCTGTCCCTCCAGCGTCGACGTGCGGTGGGCACGCGCCCTGTGAGAAAGCTGGACGTGTGCTTTACAGCGTGCGACGCGGTGTCGCCACCCTCACACGGGAGACCTGGTCACCTGTGGTTTGCAAGCATCTCCCCAGAACCACAGGACCGCAGACCCTGAATGTGACCCGGTGAGATGGCCCCCCCCAACCATCCCCAGCAAGTGGGGGGGGGCTCCTGCTGTGGGGCTGGGAAGGCCTGACATTTTCCCAAGGAAGGTCACACCGTCCTCTGTGATGGGCACCCGTCCTGGCTTCCTGGGTGCCCCCCTCCACCCCTGGAGGGGTCCCCCTAAGTCATGTCCATCTGCCAAGGGGCTTTCTCAGACTCTGCGGTCAGCCGGGCTCCTTGTCAGAATGAATGTCCCTCCCGCCCCATGTCCCCGGAAGAGGGCCTTTTCGGCTGTTTCTCTCTCTCCTCCCTCCTGGGACCCGGGACAGAAGCCCATCCACCCTCACTCCACAGTGGCTGCTCCTTGACCCAGGCATGGGAAGGAGACGGGCCCATAGACCTTTCTGGAAAGACGCCCGCCTCCCCCAGCGGTCCCGCTGCTGGCCCCCTCCTCCTGTTGTCCTGGACGTAATTTCCAGAGGGGGAGCCTGGCTGGGGGAACCAGCAGACACTGGGCACCCAGCATGCCAAGCGTGGGAGACATTTATTTGACATGGAGTGAGTCACAGGTCACCGTCGGTGGGGCCATTAGAACCTCCCGGGGCTTCTTTGCGCTCGTCCTACAGCGTAGAAGGCCTTTCCTCTGGAGCTGACCGCGAGGGAAGGCGCAGGGCACTTAGTGGGGCCGCAGGCAGAGACCAAGGCGGACCCGAGGGTGTTTGAGAACCTTTCAGATCCTGCTGAGGGTCCGCTCTGGGTAGAGCCAGCCCTCCAGGGGCGAGAGCTGATTGGATGGCGCCCAGGGGCTGCCCAGCAGCGGATGGACCGGGTGGACATGTGGAGAGAGACGCACCTGGGAGATGCAGACCCTTGGGGCGGAGAAGGAAGGCGCTTTAATCAAGAAATCCCTGTAAGCGGCCTGACCCAGGCAGAGTGATTTAGCATTTCCACGGAGAGAACAGATGGGGGATGAGAGCCTTCTTGTCGCGGGAGGCCCTGCTTGGCCACTCAGATACTGCGGGTACAGCTTTGCAGCCACCTCCCGGAGGGAGCTGGAGATAGAAATATGATGACGAATGTCTCCGCTGGGCTGCTGACCCCGTGGGGAGCACGGAGGCCCCCCCCCATCGCACCTCTGCATTTAAGGGGACAGTCGTTATTTTCTTCTTCAGCACATGTGCCCGATGAGGAGGGAGGCGAGCAGAAAATCCACGGCCACTTTGGGAACACACCAACATTCCCTCGCTTTTGTTCATTTTATTGATGTTCTTTTAATATATATATATATACACACATACACTTATGATTAAGTCAGTGCTCAAGCACTCAGACAGAGAGCAATTCTGAATTGAGATGTGTGTATGTTTTTAAATAAGGTTGAACGGAATGGCAACCAGAGATGAAATTGTTGTCAAACATAGAAACAGGAATTGAATTTCTTCTTTTTAGCTGGATCTTGAACGTTGACTTGACCATATGGGCACTGCAGGAGGAAGAAGACAAATTGTTAATGACTTCCTTAGCGACTGTCTTGACAGAGTAAGCGCTGCCCATGGCGAACAAAGGGGACCGCGGACCGCGTGATGAGGGTCATCTGATCTTGCGGGCCCTGCAGAGCGAGAGGAGAATTCTGGGGAACCATCCTAAT